GGCTGGCCAAGATGCAGCTTTGCTAAAAGACATGCTTTCTAATTTTCTAGATTCTAGGGAGAAATAGGAGCTTCTCTCTGTAGAGTCCGTCATAGCTAAACCAAAAGCCTCGCTAGGAGACTGACTGAAGAAGGGAAAGTGAGAGGGAGTGAAATCTGGCCGGAAAAAGACACCTCCGTCGCCGGAAAATAGCAAAAGTGATCGAAAGTTGGAGGTTGATGGATGGGTGAGGTCGGAATAGCCTCGCGAAGAGGCTGTCCGAAGGAAAAAAGTTGGGATCTAGCCTGAAAAGGCGTCACGCGCCGGCGCGTGGGCTAGGGGTGGTCGGAGATCTGCCGCGCGTGACGGCGCGTGGAGTGTCAGATCCCGGCGATTCTTTCTGGGGTAGAGTCGCAACAGGGTTGGCTCTCGGATGGTGGTGGTGGAATCCTAGGATTCATGGTTCATGGTGGTGGTGAAGGGGTGGGATGGGTTGTTTGTGTGCTACAGTGGGCATCCAGTCGAGAAGAAGAGTCTAACGACAACACTTTACTTACTTTACCATTATAAGCTGGCAAAACAACTTACATATGATCCTTTATCCGCATAGGTTGAGAAGATCGTAAATCATAAATCAGAACCTGCACATTACAAGGTATTGTTAGACATCTTGATCACACAAGACACAACAATAACTACGCATCAGTCATAAACAAGTTAGCTCTGGCTATACGAACCCTCACTAACCATGTTTCTCCATTTAAAATCATTTCAGTCCAACATTATACACAATAAAAATAAAACTTCTCAGAAGCCTCCGCAATGTAAATATATGTTTGCTAACAAGATAACTGTTTTTTACTCGAAGACAATAATTTATTCTTCAATAACTACTTTCTGATGCCCTCAAAGTGACAAGAATTTCACCCCCAAGAAAATCTAGCTTCCTTTAGCCAACTCAATTAACAATGAAAAAGCAAGACTCTAATTGGAGTGGGCTTAATAAAAACATAACTTATTTGTCTTTTTCTGTTCTCTGTTTCTACATGAATCAAAAGACATACCAGAAATTTAAAAAACCTCTCTCCATTCCCTTCCAGTGATGTAACAACTATTCAAGTTAATAATTTCTTATACTTCAAGGACACATCAGTAAGCCAACTTTGTGGGGCATCCCGTAGCTAATATTGTGATACCTCTTTTTGGTAAGTTGTTGAGGGCAATGTCTTAAAATTAGGGTGTGTCTGGCCTGAAGGAAAACATTTTCTGGAAAATATTTTTCAATTCTCTCATGTTTGGTTGGCTTAAATGTTATGAAAAATGGTTTCCTAATGAACTCATTTTCCTTCAATTTTTCCCACAAAGAAGAGGAAAAACATTTTCCAAAACTCTCTTTCAACCTTCCTCACCCCTACTGTCATCTCCCAATCACACCCTCGCCACCTGGGTCCCCAAACCCTGACCTACCACCTTACACCCCGACCTCACACCGGCCACCCTTGATCCACCCCCCACCCTCCAAACCCACATCCCATTACCTCCGCCTCCTAGCAACCCCTCCACCACCACTAACCCAGCATCGGCTCCCCTTCCCTCATCGTCCCACCCCTTCCCTCTACCCTGCCACCCCTCAATTGCCCGACCCAAACTTCGCGACACAAAACACGGAGGTCAAGGGCCAGGTGTGGGGGTCAGGGGCGGGGTGTCGAGGGTGGAGTCAAGGTTGGGGTTGGGGTCGGGGGTCAGTGTCGAGGTCAAGGGTCCGGGGTTATAGTGTTTGCCTAAATTATATTAAAATGCTCTTAGGACAATATTTTCTCCTTACTATCCAAATATCAGAAAATAAGTAAGAAAATAACTTGTTTTAGGGAAATATTTTCTAAAACATTTTCCTAAACCAAACACACCCTTCCTATCATGAGAAAGAACATCTGCAAAAAATTTCACATTGAAGATGCAATGCTTTTAAGTATGATATGTTTTATATATACTCGGTGTAAGGATTTTTAAAATACTCTTTCCTACTTAGTTTCATGTCAATTTTCGTACTACATAGGTTAAAATATATTCTTCATACTACATTAGCTGCCTGTTGTATAAGTCCTCTTAATTAACATCCAATTTGGTGTTGCTAAAATGTTAGGACAGAGTAAGAATTTTCATAATCAAAATGCAGGTGAATTTTCCACCTCCTACAATTTATTAATAGTAACTAGAAAGTTTAGGTGTACTTTATCTAGTTTCAAGCAAAATAAGAAAAAAGACTAAACTCCCGAAATGACAATCATAAATGATTTTTCCAACCAGAACTTCAGACTCAACATTCACCGTGATCATCAGAAAGTTTATCAAAACCTCTTTAAAACTGCATTTCCTTCTATTATACCTTTCCATCACTACTTCCAACAGCCATGAGGTAACCTCCATCTCCGTCGAACTCTATTGCAGTAACCTCCTGTAGTTTATGCATATCATTAGCAACCATTGAAAAAAGATCTGGTTTTTTCAACTACTTTATAGCAGAAAACTACCTGGTCCCCATTCCCAGCAGGTGCAACAGCATTTATCCTGCCAACTGAAGATCTTGCTCTCATGTCAAAGCATTCGAGAGCACCATCCTCCCCTCCACAAGCAACTAATCCATGGACCTTGCTAAAGTGCAGAAGAAAAGAAACCAAAAGATCACAGAAGAAACTGTCAGACAGAAGGTATAGCAAAACTAAAAAGCCAAAAAGAAAATTTTAAAGAAAAAAAGAAACATGGGTTTAAAAGGTGAGCAAAGCAAAATCAACTTCTAACCTCCGCGAAACCACATTAAGTGCCGGGGATCGTGTGCTAAGCGAGGAAAGGAAGCGTCCCTGTTAATAGAATATGATAGTCTCAGTAAACTACACAAGCAAACATCAACGCTATAAGGGGGAAAACTTCAATTAGAATAAGCTGAAATTTGACATCCAACTTTTAGGCTGTACAAGTTAGGATTCTGCACATATCTGATCTATTTTTCTTTGAAAATGCAGCAGATTATGATTTAACACTCTAAAGCTCCATTTATCCTTGGGATCAATGCCATGGAAATCTAGGTGAATTTTAACAGCACATTTACTATTCTTTTCTTACCCTTCTCTCCTCTTCCCTTCCTATAAGTTGTTTCTCCGAAACAGCTTAGCCTTTGCCCCTTTTTTTTCTTTTTTTGGCCTATCGTAACTTTTCGGGCAACAATATTGATCTATAACAGCCCAATCCAAATCACCTGAACATTAGATGACATGGAAAGTGTATAGCTAGCAGAAGACCTTTCCAGATACATATTTCTAAGTCTGAGTGTTTGTTCATCAGAATGTTGGCAAAAGCATTAATGGATGTGGTGCATTCACAACAGAAATTCAAATAAGTGAAATCGAATGAGGAAAGAATTCTTTCATACTTCAAGCAGTGTTGTTGAGTATTGCATCTGTTGCTACTGGTTTGCTAAAATAATTAGTTGTTTCCTCGTAGGAGTAGTCTGCTACTTTTTAAAATTTAAATTTTTGTTAGATATTTAGGTTGTTCAGATATTTTAGGTTTTGAATCTTTGTTCTGCAGATCTTTTGCAGATTTTCTTGTTTTCAAGTGGCTATTTAGAGCCCTATGGTTAATAAAATTTTAAGCGACAAATTTTCAATAATAATATTAACTTCTTACTAGCGGTATCAGAGCGTCCACAGGTCTTACAGGATCTATGAGCTCACTTAAAAAAAGAGACTTGTAAAATCGATTTTAGCTCATATCTATGTTTATCCTTATTTTCAAACATGGCAAGCAGTAGTCTCTCTTTGAATCTCCCACAAACCTTCACCGGTGAAAACTATCAAATTTGGTATATGAAAATGAAGTTTTATCTTGAAGCCTATGATCTATCAAAAGTTGTAATGGAAGATAGACCCTTACAACGACTCTCAAAAAAAATACCCTTATGTAAATTCAAGCTCATCCAGAAGAGCCTTCAGACAAAATTAAGTTACTCAGACAATTATATAGAAGAAAAGAACCCAACCATTGATGATGTCATCTACCAATGGCGAGAAGTTGGAAATGAGAAGAAAATCTTGTATTTACTGACAGACATAAAGCAATAGTCAACTTCAATATAGGTGCACATATTACTTTAACTATTGTAGAGAAACAGGTGCCATTACAAGTTCAGTTAAGCATTTTGAAGAGAAAAAAAACTTGTAATTCTGCTGCAAAATTTGCCACTTTTTGTTTAAAAAAATTAATTTATACAAACACATGAACGGGTCAAACACTTAAACTAAGGAGGAAAACCTGCTCCAAATTTATTCTGTAGAGATCTGGTGATGAGGCAGCACAAAGCAAATCACAAGACCAGGAATCATATACAATATCCCTTCCCATCCTAAATAAACAGGAGAACATATAAGTGATGTTAAGCTGGCATTTAAAGATGATACAGTTCGTACAGAAAAGTAACAGTAAATTTCAGAAGCAGAGAGGAAGAGCAAAAGCGTTGGGGATTAGCTTCAAGATGAAAGTGACAGATAGTTGAGCAAAATCAAAGAAATCCATCAAGATGAATTGTTGATATCATGCCAGCAAAATATGCTGCTAAGATGTCTGAGTTGCTACTGAAATAAGGTATCATGGCAATGCAGGAAAGATGTTGACCAGATAATGGAACACAAATTAGAGTAGAGCACCTAGAAATTTGTCTTTTGTAAATTTTGAGATACGCTGACTGAAGCATGTCAGGTCTTCCAGGAGATACCCAGGATGCATGGAGCTAAACAACGTCCTTTCCTCTTCAGGCAAAACTGATTAGTGCACCTAAATGTGAGCTCCTTGGCGTTCACATTCAGCTTTAACAATGACTAGTTTAATTCATTCTAAGCCTGATTCAATTTTCATCTGATCTCTAAGAAAGGAAATGCGAGCTAAACAACGTCCTTTCCTCTTCAGCCAAAACTGATAAGTGCACCTAAATGCGAGCTCCTTGGCGTTCACATTCAGCTTTAACAATGACTAGTTTAATTCATTCTAAGCCTAATAAATTTTCATCTGATCTCTAAGAAAGGATATGTTGAAGCATTAACTTATCTAATTTGTGACCTCACAAAGAGTTGGCTGAGTAATGTGCATTCATTCTCTGCCTATATAAGCTTTAGGGGTTTGTATAAAAGGGGTAGTTTATAGGCTTTGGGATTTGACCAAGGTATCCAATACATTAACGTACAGAGTTTTAGATAAGGATACTAGTTTATATGAAAGTTTATACTTAAATATAGATCATGAAACAAGTAGTTACATACAAAGTGGCATGCTTTACTTGCCGGTAGTTAGAGAAGCTGCTCCAACATGGGATAAACTGAGAAAAAGTGAAATACCAATTTGTTCAAGGTGCTACTTTTGTGGTCAAGAGGCAGAGACAATAAGCCATCTGTCTCTACATTGTAGGGTCACTAGTCAGCTGTGGCATTTGTTCATCAACCTCAGGGGTATTTGGTGGACAATGCCAGGAAGAACATCTGAACTTTTGTCATGCTGGAATGAAGGGGAAAATTGTAGTGCTGCCAACAAAGACAGATGAAATTTGTCCCTGCAACTATTTGGCGGACAGTTTGGAAGGAGAAAAATTCAAGATGCTTTGAGGATACAGTCAGCCATATTTAGAAGATTAATAGCTTGTTTGGCCAAGTTTCTCCAAAGCCAAAAGCGGTTTTTTTTCAAAGTTGAAGTGTTTGGCCAAGCTTTTGGAAGGAAAAAAAGTGCTTTTGAGTAGAAGCAGAACCAGAACCAGGAGTGAACTTTCTTCCAAAACCTAGCAGTATAAATGAGTTTCAGGATTAACTAAATTTTTCTGAAGGGTTGCAATTTTTTATGGCATTCAACCACTGAAGACCTTTCTTTCTTTGGTAAAATTATTACAGATACATGCATAGATTATATTTATTCTCTCATTCAGTCCAGTGGTATCTAAGCTTTCAAGTGAGACAGGTTGGGCTCAATCTGTTGTCATTATGCAAGTGTAAGCATGCTAGAGGAAACAAATAGTCCTCCGTGCAGCTCAAAGTTATGTTGCCATTCTTGACACTTAACATGCATTGTTTTCTAAATTTTGCATTTCATCAGTATAGCTTAGCAGACAACATATGGATAAGCACATAAGAATAAAACAAACAAAATAAGTGCTACCTTGGAATTCGCAAACTGTAATGACTTCCATATTTTGCATGGAGGCATACAGAACGATCAGCACAAAGAAATGCCATTTTTGAGTAGTCATCACCCAAGACCTACAAAAGATATCAAAGACGGAATATACATCAGTAAAGATTTCCCAGATTAATTAGAGAAGAAAAATGCAACAGAACATGTTTCCATGCTTCTGGTCTCTAAAGAAAAAACAAATAGGGAACAAGCAAAAACATTTACTATCGCAGCACAAATAATTTTAGCAAAAAAAATGAGCATAAGCACTGGTCATAAAAAGAAGCAATACTTAAGAATCTACTTTGTCATTTTGGGTTAAACGTGCAGCCTTCACAAAGAAAGAGAGGGAAAGCAGTCAGTACCTGAAAGTTAACGATCTCTGACACCAAATGCCTTTCGAACTTTAATGACAGCTCCCGCAGCTCATAAACTTTAACTTGTGGTGGGTAAATACCTGAAAAATCAATATTGACAACTGATACAAAATAGAGGAAATACCAAGCAGCAAAAAGAATGTACTCATCTAATACATGTTCACAAGGGGTCTTTTAGTTTGTTAGAGATCTGATTGCCAGCATAAAATATAGAGAACTTCTGGTGTCGGAGAACCTAACTTACTGAATGACACGGGCCTAAATGGAGCGACATGAACAGTGAGGATTTATATAATTGACCCTATCTTGGTGTCGAGGCATAGTTGTTGCTGTTGTACTCATCTTTTTTTTTTTGAGAAGCTAACATAAGTTAAATCTGTTGTACTCATCTAATACATGTATCAGAAGAACAGGGGGACAGAACAGTGATAAAACATTAATTGGTTACTTCCCTGTGTAGGATATTTTTAATATGAGATAATTATTGTTCAGGTTAAACATGAATAAGTCTAGACCAACACAGGAAATAAGATGAATATCAATGCTTCATTTTAACAACTAATAAAATGAACCAATATATTTATAACCCAACCTGTTCTAAATCAAAAAACAATAGTCAAATATTGAGTTTATATAGAAATAACTGTGTGTGTATATATATATATAAAACACAGAGGGGTAAATATGCACGAACATCACGTTTTAACAGTAAAACAGCACAGTGACGCCTTTAATCTGTAACTCAGAAGTAGTTACTTCTCAATAACCTAGAAAAAGATCATTTAACAAAAGAATAATATTTTAAGGAAACAAAAAAAAGAAAGGATATCTCGAACTGCAGATAATCACCTGACGCAATGAGATACTCCCCGTCAGGAGTCACTTTAATTCTTGTCGTTGCAGT